GTAACAGAGACAGTCTGAAAGGCTGGATTACCTGTGTTACTTCTCTTTTTGGTGTCTTATCTTTTTGTTTTAAAAACACACATGCCTTCAACCTATCATGAATCTCCATACATGGTGCTGGCTGGCTCAAGCTGTCAGGCAGTGGCCACCTAAGATCTTGGGAATAAGAAGTGACATCTGGTTCCATGTTTGGTACTTTTTAAAATCTTTATTGAGAACTATGTGGAAATACTTAGCCCCACAATGGACGCCATTTGTAAGGAGTCTTTCTCTGACTTATTATCCAGCCTCCCAATAATGACATAAAGACTTTTATCAATTATGAAAAATCAGCATATAGGTTTGGCTTGTTTCTATCTAGTTTGTAGAGCTTAAATTTACCTATTATATTTATCTATGTCATGTCACATGGTTCAGTTACCTCTTTTCTATTCTGCACCTCTGAATTGCTCTAAGTCTTCTAGAATCTCTATGGCACACTCTGCATGATTAGATCCTTGTCCCTTTCTTCTCTCTTCCCCCAGAAATCCTGCCTATCTCTCTTACCTAGCTATCATGGCATAATCTTTCGTCCATCTTCCAGCTCCAGTGTTCTGTCAGTGTCTAGTGTCTGACTGGTGACTCTGCCTTTCTTCTTCCTAGAGTTCTCTCTCTGCCCTGATGTCCTACCTATACCTCCTGCCAGCTCTTGGCCATTAAGCCTTTAATTACACCAATCAAAGCAAAACTTTGTAACACAGTGTAAAAATATCCCACAACAAAACTGACTCCTACACATGAAACAATAAACCTGTGAATAAATGTAGGAATTAACCTATTTTAGCATTAATGTGGACAGCAGACAACAATACAAAGTATTTGCAGAATGTGTTTACAGATATAGCACAGAGCAACAACAGTCTTGGAGCCCTGACCCTATCTCAGACACCATGAAGGAAATACTACCCCTGCAATGATCCTTCCCAAGGGTAGGTTAAGGCACTGAACAATGTTAGCTTCTTTTCTTGAATAAGGAACTGTCTGCATTTTGGGAACTTTCATTTTGGGGAAGTTTGATTTTGATGACCTTCACAGTTTAGATGCAATGTATTAACCATATGCAAAACATGAGAGCAGAGAGGGGCCCTTTAACCATAACATTTACATAACCAAATCCCTCTTGCATGCCAACTACATAGTAAAACTGTCGGAAGGTTAATCATTTCTTGTACATCCAAATCACAGGCAATCATGAACTTATGAATATGGTGAAAATGACACTGATATTAGACAATCAGGATGGTGCTGAGGCTCAGAGTTGAGATGCCAATAACGCTAATTTGGAATAGACATTTGTGATTGAACAGGCATTAAATCTAATTCAGCTTTTACCAAAACCAGAAGGATTCTGAACACTAAAAGAGGAACACAAGAGAAAAGAGAATGGTGAGAATTTGTTCCTATGTTAGACATGTATGGTGATAGGAAAAGAGCAATCATTCTTTGAGGGATTATTATTTAGCAGAATAGAATCAAATCAATGCTGTGAGCTCAGCACATTTCTTTCTCCATTTCCATGCATGTATTCTCTATGTTCATACAGGAGAAATAAAAGACCATGTGCTCAGTGTGTTCCTTTTGTTCTCCATGATCCCAGCAGCATCAGCCTGCATCTTTCTTTGTTGTAGAACACTGCTCTCCACCATGGCAATACTCTGGTCCTATTGAAGTCTCTCTAACTGTTACTACACACAAGTGACCTGTAGAACAGTGGTCACATCTGTATTCTTTCTTGTTGTTGAACAAGAAAGAATCAGAACTATAGGCAGTTAAAATTTGTAGGCAAAGCTTTTTTTCCAGGGACAAAATCACTGAGATGTTTCCAATATTTTTGGCCATTGTGGAACACCCTGTTCTTAACAATGGGGTGTAAGAATGGCTGTTACAGCTAGTGTGGTCTACAGAGTGAGTTCCAGTACAGCTGGAGCTCATAGTAACACCCTGTCTAAACAAACAATCAAATAAACAAATAAACGAAGCACAAAAATCACAAGATTGTAGACATTTTTATACAGAGCCCTAATATAACTCATTGTCTCACCAGCTAGATTTGTATGGAGTCTTGTCTTTGTTTCTGTTACCATTGTTTCATGTGGCTGGTGTAGGCATTGTTCTTGTATCTCTAGGTAATATTCATACAACATCCCAAAGCATCTTCCAGGCGTGCTAGGAAACCAACCATGAGATTGGTGTGTATGAAAGAGTAAAGGAGGAGAACCAAGAGCTAAGAGGAAAAAACAACCACCATATCCCTCAAGTAAAGGTGCTATGTCAGGAAACCATCAGGCTTATGTTGTGTTCAGTCATGGTCTGTGGTGACTGAGAGCATTTAGCCAGATGCAGGTGTTTACAGTGGAGATGTGCTGCAGGAAGAGCCCACAGTCAGACTTGGGTTTGTAATATAGTACACAGAATGCTGAGAAAGAAGGATGAATCTGAGACCACCATAAGGTTTAAGAGGTTCTGTCTCAGAAACACACACACACACACACACACACACACACACACACACACACCCAAAAACTAAAGAACCACAGAGAGATAGAAGCCACAAAATCTTTAGCCCAACCCATCAAGCCCAGGAAGGAAAGAGTCAGGCAGCTGGTTAGAACAGTTCCTCTTCTTCAGGGGCTGCCAGTATGACATTCGCATGACAGAAATCGGAAACCAGTTTGCAGAGGCCACACAATTTCTGTTAGTGTGTTTGGAAAGGAGATCATCTATCTTCAAACTTGTAGCAACTGGAAGATGCCATGACCCCATTTCTTTTAGTGCTGCTGTTTCTTGGTGAGATACCATATGGGGAGGGAGAAATATTCTCTGAGAAGGAATCCACCTCACAATCATGATTTGGGCCATTGGGATGTCTGAGCAGTTCCCGAAGGCACCTGGAAGTGTAGGTCCTGCTCATGATTTAGTGTAAACACTCACAGCTCACTCTCTTCTAGGACTAAGCCCGAACCTCTGGATCCCAACATCAGCAGGTAAGTGTCTTCCAAGCTGTCCTAGTTTGGACATTTTTGGGGGGGGATCAAGGGGAACTCATGCGCAGAGCAGATGGAGAACAGCTGGTGTGGACTGATATTGGGGATGCCTAAAAGGTTCTGGGTAAGAAGACTGTATCAGAGGGGGAGTTCTGGGGAAACAATTGTCAATTTCTTTCAGGGGTCCTCTCTAAACCTACACTGAGAGCAGTGCCAGGAAATGTGGTAGCCACTGGGAACCAGGTGACATTCTTCTGTGAAGGGCCCTCAGAGGCCAAAGAATATCGTCTCTACAAAGTAGGAAGTCAAGACTACCTGATACCAACAGCCCTTCTAGAAACTGAGAATAATGCCAAGTTTTCTATCTCTTTGGTTCAATGGAACAATGCAGGCCAATATTTGTGTTCTTATACAAGCACCAATGGCTCATTAGAAAACAGTGACACCCTGGAGCTGGTGGTGACAGGTAACAGAACCCTCCCTCAGCCCCTGGATTTGCCTTAAGTGGGCTCCTTTCTCAAATATGAGAAGTGGGGAACCATGTTTCTCATATAAGTTCTCCTAACAGTCTTGCTTTTCTCTCCTAGGAGTTTACCCCAGCAATGTCACTCTGTCAGCCATTCCCAGTTCTGTGGTGACTTCAGAAGGGCGAGTTACCCTTCAGTGTGAGTCACAACGGCCGTATAATATGTTCATTCTAATGAAGGATGGTGAGAAGTTCTCAAGTCCTAAACCCTCACAGAAAATACACTCTGACATATTTGGAGCCCAATTCTTGGTGGATCGGGTGACCCCCAACAAGAGGTGGAGGTTAACGTGTTATGGTTATTCCTTGAGCACCCCTCAGCTGTGGTCGCTGCCCAGTAACCAACTGGAGCTCCTGGTATCAGGTAAGGAAGTGCAGTATGTTCTTTTGAGTATAATTGCAACTGACACAGGGTCCCTGGAAAATACCTGATTTGTGCTGGGTGGTTGACAACCAGGGCTACTGGACTCAGTGTCACAGAATTTCTGATACAGCTGGTCACCATGGGAGATACTTATAATGAAATCTAAGATCCATAGAAATGTGTGGACTTTATGTGGACTTCTGCTATTGCAGATCAGCTTATGTGTCAGGGGCAATTGTGACCTTCTCTGTGATATTTTAGAAACAGATGCACCTACTTTCTTCCTACTTCTTTGCAGGGAATCTTAGCAAGCCCACCATATGGGCTGAGCCAGGCTCTATGATCACCTCAGGGAGTCATGTTACCATCTGGTGTGAGGCAAACGTAGAGACCCAAATCTATGTGATATATAAAGAGGGAATCCCAGAACCTCAGGACCAACAGAACCAGATAGTCTCCAACAATAAGGCAAAACTCACCATTTCATCTATGACAGAATCAAATGCAGGGAGATATCACTGCTACTCTTACACCTCTGCTGGATGGACAGAACGCAGTAACACCTTAGAACTGGTGGTGACAGGTGAGAGAAACTCAAAAATCCTTGCCCCAGAAGTCACTCTCAAGAAAAACTGCTGTAGCATTATTTCCTATAGAAGGAAAGCTGTGGGCGGCAATTTAGACTGTGTGGTCCACTTTAATTTTCTGTGTGTACTTTTTTAGGAGTCCACAACAAACCCATACTGTTGCCACTGCAAGACCCCGTTGTGACTGTAGGAATGACTGTGACACTCTCTTGTACCTCAAATCATTCATACAACTGGTTCATTTTAACTAAGGATGATCAGAAGTTCTTGCGCAGTGAGCATTCACAAGATAAAGACACTGGGTTATTTTTTGCCAAGTTCCAAGTGACACCAACGGAATTCAGCCAAAGATGGATGTTCAGATGCTATGGCTCTTACAGAAGTAATCCTCAGGTGTGGTCAGAAGGGAGTGACCTTTTGGAACTTCTAATCTCTGGTGAGGGCACTTCAGGGTCTCTGTAGAATCATATTCTACTAGACACATGATCCCTGTTTAGATCATGGTGCGTCATGCGTTTGAGGATTCAGGGTTCCTGAGTCAGTTGACACAGTATGCAGACCATGAGAGTCACTGTATAGAAAATAAGGGGAGAGCCTAATAGAAATGGAACCTGGGAGGGTCAGGAGAATGATGTGTCTTCCCATGACATTATTGGTTCTTTTTGTATTTAGGGGTAAAGTTTAAGATCAGGAGCAAGTTTGATCTTTACTCTGAAACTGTTTGATTGCCCCCACATCCTTCTCTTCTACTTCCTTGTAGGAAGACTCATGAAACCCTCTTTGAGGGCTGAGCCAGGATCAGTGATTGCCTCAGGAAACAATGTGACCATCTTGTGTGAGGGGACCAAGGGAAATCAACCAATGTATTTCCTCTATAAAGAAGGAAGCCCAGCACCCTGGGACAGTCAAACCCCAAAAGATCCTGGTAACAAGGCCATGTTCTCAATAGCATCCATGGAAAAGCATCATGCAGGAAAATATCGCTGTTACACTTACAACTCTGCTGGGTGGTCAGAACGCAGTGACATGCTTGAGCTGGTAGTGACAGGTGAGAGGTCACAAAGTGTCACTATCTTTGCCTCTGTCCTCAGGAAATAATCGTCCATAGGTGTGCTTCCTCAGCTTTTCTGCTGGAGACATGATGGGCTGTCTTTCATTAAACAGGCTGCCTCTTCCTCTCCTAGGTGTTCACCATGGTAAACCTACTCTGTCAGCTTTGCCCAGCCCTGTGGTGACCTCAGGTGGGAACGTGACCCTTAAGTGTGTCTCATCTAAAGGATATGATTGGTTCATTTTGACTGGGGCAGATCAAAATTTCTCCAGGTCCCAAAAGGCACAGCTTACACACACTGGACAGTCCCTAGCTTTGTTTCATGAGATCACCGTGGCATCCAGCAAGAGTGAACCCTTCAGATGTTACGGATACTTTACAAATACCTCGCATGTGTGGTCAGAGGCCAGTGACCCTTTGGAGATACATGTCTCAGGTGAGGAAGTCTCATTTACTCAACTGTTTGGCACCAGAAACCCTTTGTCATATGCTGTGCTGCCTCAAGGAAGGTTTAAAGCCATAATGGCTAAAGGAAACTGTTGAGTGCTAAGGCTCAGAGTATGAATGGCCATGGCAAGGTCAAGGCAGGATGGGATGTGGAATGTATAGAAAGATCCAGCTGTATGGCTTCCTGAGTCTCCTGCTTACAGGACTGTCAAAGAAACCCTCCCTGTTGGCTCAAAAAGGCCCTGTCCTGTCCCCTGGAGAGAACTTGATCCTCAAGTGTTCCTCTGAGATAAGTTATGACAGATTTGCTCTGTTTAAGAACGGGGAAAGTGACCTTAACCAGGTCTCTGTCCATCAGTCTCAGGATGGACATTTTCATGCCAATTTCACCTTAGGCTCTCTTGATTCCTTCATTGGTGATCAGTATAGATGCCTTGGTGCACACAGTTCCTCCTCTGTATGGTCAGCCCCCAGTGACCCATTGGACATCCTGATCACAGGTAAGGTTTTTAGTGTATTCAGTTGGGTCCCATCTTGGCATAGGTTAAGCTGGGAGGAGACCTGGAATTCATCATCAAGATAATGATGAATATCTCACAGAGAAATAGGTCCAGGTAGAAGGATTGCACAGTCTGTTAAAATATAGAGAGACTAGATTCCGAATGGGGGACTCAGAACAATGGCTGCAGTCCTTCACTTACTCATTTTCTTCTCTTTAGGGTACCCTGCTGTTACACCAAATCTCTCTGTGATCCAGGCACTACCGTTTCCTTAGGAGGGACTGTGACCCTGCAGTGTCAATCATCAGTCCCCGTGGATACTTTCCTTCTGTTCAAGGAAGGTGCAGCCCATCCCTATTTGCATCAAAAATCACAGTTTCAAGATTTAAAAAATCAGGCAGAATTCTCCATGAGTGCTGTGACCTCAGCTCTTGGGGGTTCCTATGTATGCTTTGGTTCCCAAAGCTCATCCCTTTACCTGTTGTCACACCCCAGTGTCCCTGTGGAGATCATAGTTTCAGGTGAGATAACCCAGACCTCTTTGAGCTCAATTAAGACAAGATAATTGACCTAGGATTTAACCTAGGTAGAGATTTAGAAACAAACTGTTCTTTCTCAATTACTCATCATCTCACCTTCTGCATGGGAGTGGCAGAAGATTTTAGGTAGGAAACCAGAAGGTTCTAGAGAAGCTGAAGTTTAGGTACAAGACTGATAAAAGATGAGATAATAGGGTATCCTTCCACTCATCATTCCCCGTACAAATTTCCCACAGTCCCCTTGTGTCTAAAATTCCATTTCCATAGAGGTTTTAGATTTTCTTGTCTAGGAATTTTGTTTCACCATGAGTATGTGCTGACGCTTGTCGCTAGGCATCTTCATTCATTTATCAGCTTGGGTGATGACCAAGCTACTAGGTGTGAAGCAGAGATTCCTAATATGGTTCCTAGAAACCAGAGGTTCAGAAGCTAGGCTGCAGAAGAGGTACTCTGATAGAAGGTGATATTGTTGATTTATACTAGATTGAATCACTGAAAATGATAGCAGGTGATTATTCCCCAGAATTTCCCCATCCAATTGTGTTAGGCCATGAAAAACAGAGAAAAAAGAGAGAATTCAGGATCTTTCCTTCCAGTTAATGAGGTTTAGCTCAAGGATAGGGAATATGGTAAAAGGCCGGATAACCTGGGTTCAATCCTCACCTATGTACCATCTGTGGCAGGAAAACTGACTGAAAGTGCTCAGAGGTGGTCCCAGGTTACATGACTTTGAAAATGATAGCAAGTAACAAACACCTAACATGGAGCAACCACATAGTCAATTCTCTCTTTATTTATTTATTCTTCTCTTATACAATACATCCCAATTGCAGCATTTCCTTCCTACATTCATTCACATCTCCTCTCACACATCCAGTCTCCTTCACTACCCCTGCACCATATGCCCCAGGAAAGAGTAGACCACACAGGCACATTAGTTGAAAATGGCACAAAAGAATACCATAACATCAGGCAGAAACATGATCAACGTTGGGTGAGGTCATCCAGCAGGAAGAATGTGTCCCAAGTGCAGGCAAAAGTGTAATATACCCCTCACCACCACTGTCAGAAACTCCCCACAAAAACCAAACCCACCAACAATAATAACTTATATGCAGAGTGTCTAGTGAAGACCCATTCAGGCTCTATGACTGCCTCTTCAGCCTCACACAGTAACTTCTTATTCACAATTCTTCATTCATGATGTTACCTGTCTCCTAGGACCGGCAAGGTACCAAAAGGCTCTGATTGGCATCGCTGTGGCCTTCTTTCTACTGCTCCTCTTCCTCATCGTCTTCCTTATCCTCATACTCAGGCATCAGAACAAAGACAGGAAAGGAGGTGAGTAGGGTGTGGGAGGCCTGGGTCTCAGGGTTAGTGGGTCCCACTGTGGAGTATCCAAGCAGGAGCTCAGGGCACTGACCCCCCAAAGTAAGGTCAGTCTGGGACATGTCAGCCTAGAAACACTTCTGCAGATGCTGATTGCAAAACATCATCTGGAAACAAGTGCAATGTTCTGTATTGTATGAACTTTTCCATCTCCTGGGAGATTTTAACACATACACAATGAGTCGTAAAGGTCCCATCCTTTCCTGAATGTGCTAGGTAAGGGGTTCTAGTCTCCCCATTGAGGGACTTTTTCTCTTGCAGTCCAGACAGAGACTCATTTGCAACATCACGGAGATTCAGTGACCAGGGACAAAAGCCACCAGAAGAGGTAAATCAAGCTCATAAACAGACTCTACCTGCTTGACTTTCCTTCTGCCAATTGACACCCTCTTGTTTCCTCAGCTCCAAGCCAGCTCCTGCCATCCAGGAAGAAGTCTTGTGTGAGAGGCAAAGGGCCTGGGAGGGAGATATCTGAGGTTTCACCATCACAGGAGTGGTGGAGTATCTGGGACATTAAATCATCTCTATGTACCCCACTACATCTTCTGTTTCCCTATCTGGGACAGGGAGGGGTTCTGGGGAAGTGAGATATCCTGGGAATCTGGACAGGGGAAGACCTGCATGTTTTGTTATGACAGATGCTACTGTGAAGGTCACACAGCATGCAGACAGCATGGAGCTGGATGTTCTGGTGAGACTCTTGTTTATTAAAAATGCTAAGAACTTATGATAATATGATGGTCAGAAATTGTCGCTCAGTATTTGAGTGATCACTTCAGATGTGTAGGGCCTTGAGTTTAATTTGTAGTTATAAAACTAAGAAGTAAATTACTAGGAAACACAAGTAAATGAGAACTATGTACATGGGAATGTGTAGGCACATTTATGTAAGTACAAAGAGAAAGAGGGGTCGACATATGATTTCTTCTTCTAGTTTTCTACAACTCTTCTTCTGTGACAAGCTCTCTTAATGACCCTGGAGCTGTCTCTTTGGGTGAACTGGTACCATTGAACCCTTCACACCATTGTCTACATCAGTGTCCCCTAAGTCCCAGGCATGTGTATTCTTGTTTGGCTTTTTTATGTGGGCACTAGGGATCAAAGTCGGGTGCTCATGTTAACATAGCAAACATTCTTTTGCTTGACTCATCTCTCCAGTTCCTGGATTCCCCATAGACCATGAATCATGTAAGGGCTGCAGATGTAGCATGACATAGGTCTTCCTACCCACTGGAACAAGCTCTAGATGGGAGATAATACAGGAACAAACACATAGACTGAGCAGTGCAAAGTGTGTGAGGGAAATGAGTTAGAGGATGCATGTTGAGGTTGTGTGAGGCACAGTGTCAATTTAAGGAGACTTGAAAGAGGCCTTCTAAGGTGAAGCTTGAGTTAAGATGTTCATACAAACCTGTGATGAACTGGCACATTGGTGTGGGAGGTCCTTCTGTCTATTTGTTGCTTTTATTGATTAATGAATAAAGAACTGGCTTGGCCTATAGCATGGGAAGAGAAAGGCCGAGTGAGAGAGAAACCACGGAGCTGCTAGAGATAGACACTGGAAACTTTACCCGGTGGGCTACAGCTGCATGGTGATATACAGATTAATAGACATGGATTAAATTAATATAGAAGTTAGCTGGTGGGAAGCTAGCATTAGTGGGCCAAGCAGTGATTTAGTTGATGCACTTTCTGTGTGATTATTTTGGGTCTAAGCTAGCCAGATGGCCGGGAACCAACAAGCAGCTCTCCTCCAACAGTCAATCTGGGTAATGGACATGGCAGATTCAAGTGTCCTGGGGGCAGGGACATTCTCTTTTTTAAAGATGAGGCACTGCTGAGGAAATCAAAGTGTCAGAATAATATGTCAGAAGTGCATGGAGGAAATTAATAAATACTCCATGTCCTCTGGAAGTCCCAGAAGACCACATCAGCAATCATTTAGTTTTATGTAAATGTCTGAAATATCACTCGTGCACCCAGCAGAAGTATGAAAGTAGAGCCTCTGGTGAGTCATAATGATTCTCTCTGTCTGTCCCTCATTTGCAGAGAAAACATGAAAAAGACTCCTCCAAAGACTTGTATGCCCAAGTAAAACCGTGCAGACTCAGAAGGCCAGAGACCACCTCTTCTCCCCTCATGCCAAAGGAATTACTGGATTCAAATGACACACAGGGAAAAGGAGGCCAAGTGCTAACTGAGCAGGTGGGTCCTGATATCTTTAGTCTCCCAGGCTCCCAGTTCCCAATATAAACCTTCTTTTACACTTTCACACTGCAGGCTGATACAACAGATGAGGCAAATGATATGACCTATGCCAAGCTGTGCATCCTGACACCAAGCCAGAGGCAGGTGAACCTTTTAGCTTCCAGGCAGAAAAGTTCCTCCTGAGAACACACCCAGGTGTCTATCAGCCTGAGAAATCCAGACTCTGAATTCCATGGAAGAAGGGTGGATTCAGAAACTTCATATAACAAAATCTCCCTCAAGTGCACAACCATTGGGCAGACATAATCAGTCTCTAGGAAATTCTGAGAACTCTGGGAACTCTGATTCTGTTGTCTCTGCATTTTATAAATAATGGAAGTGTTTTGTCAGTGGCCAACAGATAAAATGAGAAAAAAGAAGAGGAATAAAGAAAGTTTTTGGTTTTGTGTTTTTCTCTGCTTGTTTTTATTTTTGAGCCACAAGGCTCACTTGGAGTGTTTTATATTGCAGAAAGGGAATGGGAAAGTGGGGAGGGGAGGTGGAAGAGACTAGCCTCTGGAGACAGGAGTTGATGTGGGAGTGATTTTTTATTAATAAAGAAACTGCCTAGACCCATTTGATAGGCCAACCCTTAGGTAGGCGGCATAAACAGAACAGTACGCTGGGAGAAAGGAGCTGAGTCAAGGAGTCGCCATTATTCTTCCACTCCAGGCAGACGCAGGTTAAGATCTTTCCTGGTAAGCCAGCTTGTGGGCTACACAGATTATTAGAAATGGGCTAGTCCAGGTGCGAGAGTTAGCCGAGAAAAGGCTAGATATAATGGGCCAAGCGGTGTTTAAAAGAATACAGTTTCCATGTAATTATTTCGGGGCATAAGCTAGAGCTAGACATATGGGAGGCTGGGTGCCTGGGACGCAGCCCCGCCACTCCAATTACAATAAGGAGTGGTAGAGGAAATGGAGAGAAATGGGCATAGCTTGCTTTTAAAGGGGCTTAGCACATTTATAGAGGCTTACATGGCCACACAGCATATGTGTATAGATTGCACAGTGACATACAGCAACAGGACCCTGGGGCTGAGTAGGTATTTGCCTGAATACTGACAAAGCATGCACAGCCATGGGACCCTGGGGCTGGTTAGGTGATGTTGGAAATATTTATAAATGTTTTATCTCAATAAAGCTGAAAATTGAATGATGAAGTAACCTTAATATTTTCTGTAGTATGAACCAGAAAAAAAATTAGAGCTGATCTGAACAATCAGGAATAAGGGTCTTGAAAATCAGGGGGTTCTATAAGAAGATATGGTCTAAGAAATAAAGAAAATCAATAATTAGATGAGAAGTATTGCAAAGGTTGATGCATTACGCCAAGCAAGTTTATTAAGAATATACTATCTCAGTTACTATTAGCAGGGGGAAAAGGGCCAAGGTTAGCAGAGAGACAGGTCAGACAGTGTTGACAAGGAAAACATGGGGAGCCTCAGACAGATTTCTTAGGATGAGAATCAAGCCTAGGAGGAAAAGTCCTGGCCCTAAAAGCAGCAACTTCATCTCCTGGGAGGCACTGGCTCCAGTGTCAGACTGGCTTCATGTCTGATTCTGGACAAGGACACAGAACTAAAATTTCCTTTGTCTATTCGTCAGGGTCTCTTAGAAAGTCTTCAGTTGTTGTGGCTTCCTAGATTGAACCATGAATAAACACAAAAATATTTTTTTAAATAAATGTTTTCATCATCATATTGAGAATATAGCATTTTCCGTATTAGGAATAGGGATGGAAGCGATACAGGAAGAAGTTACAAGATTTGGACACAGGCAGTTCCTTCTAAGTAGAAGACACAGCAGGGGAAGCACTCATTTCAGGCCTCCCTGGGTGACATAGTTCTTTCAATGCCAACATGAGAGAGAATGACATGCTGGCATTGATTGTATGACTTAGATCATTTTGCAGTTGTGCTGTATTATTATTTTAAAAAATTAATTTAGTTCGCTGTCAATATCTTATAATCATCCACATTACATGGCCCTATTTGTTAATTGTTGGTCTTAAGGACTATTTAACATAACATTATAAGAGGATCAGCCCAGGGTTTTCAGACAACCAACCTTAATATATCCAGTAACCTTACAGAAATTGTCAAATGGAAGTGGCTCTTTTACAGCTAACTGGACTCCTTCATCATTGGTAGATTTAAAGAGATTCAAGGAAGCATAGTTTTATATGACATTCATTTGCCTTTTGTGAAGCAAATGTTAAACTCATGGTTGGTTTATAATAGAATTATTGCTAATGATCGGAAGGATCTGGATAATGGTGTTTTAGGGACTGTTCACAATTATAATGGAGTACCTGATTCAGAAAAGAAGATAAGATTATTGAACAATGGAATAAAGCTAGAGGTAGGGAAATCTCCCAAGATCAAATTCATGGAGAAGGAAACTCTGCTACTATAAAGAGAAAGGCTGTATATAATGGCCACACCCTGAATTTATACCATTCAGCAGCTTGGGACAGAATTGGAGAAATGGGAAAAAACTTAAATCATGTACTAAAGCTATGCACGGCTCAAAAGAAGACTTTATGGATTTCTTACAAAGACTGAATTAAGCAGCAAATGGAATAATACCAAATTCAGAAGTTAGACAAATGAAAATTGAATCTCTGACCTTTAAGAGTGTCAGTTCTCTATGCCAAAGCTCAATTAGGTCATTAAAGGCCAGGTCAGCACATTTGGAGGAATGCATCTGAAATACAACTAATATAGAATCTCATAAACATGATGATACATGGATATGAGAGGTGATTTCCACGGGTTTGAGGAAAAATCAAAATGTCAAATATTATAATTATGGCAAACAAGGTCACGTTAAAAGGAATTGGAGACAGGACATTTCTACAAACAATATTTTTCTAAGAATAATCCACTCAAAATGCCCCCTCTTTTGGATTATGTAGAAAGGGTGGCAAAAGCAGGCTTTGAACTAATTAATGTAGGTCAATGAGGTATATTCTTGGTAATCCTTTGCCATCAGGAAATTCTGTAAGGGTACTCTTGCAGGGTCCTATGCCAAATCCTGTTCAGTTGTTTCCTGCCATTGTAGAGGAAACTCCTTACCAAAGTGTTGCAAAAAGGGGCTGCTTGTTGGTCCCAGCCAGCTGGCTAGTTTAGCTCCAAAATAAGCACACAGAAACTGTATTCATTAAAATACTGCTTTCCCCATTAGCTCTAGTTTCTTATTGGTTAATTCTTACATCTTAATTTAACCCATTTCTTTTAATCCGTGTATCGCCATATGGCAGAGGCTTACTGTGTAAAATTTCCAGCCTCTGTCTCTGTTGTATTCATGGCATATTTTTGCCTCTGCTTTCTTCCTCCCAGAATTCATTTCTGTCTTCTATGCTATCGAAGTTCTGCCCTATCAGGCCAACACAGTTTCTTTATTCATTAACCAATACAAGCAACACACAGAGGGGACTCCAACATCACCAGAGCAGTTAAAAAAATGAACATCTTTTATAAGAAATCATACTCCTGTGGATAACAGAACAGCTATAGAAGAGAAAACAAAAATTCAGAAAAAACCATAAAGTGAGCTTTGAATGGAAGTTTCTGTCTGCCATTAAGTTCCAATTGAACACATTGAGGCTTTATATTAATTATAAACTGTTTGGCCTATTATCTAAGGCTTATCATTATTATTATTATTATTATTATTTTATTTATTTATTAAAGATTTCTGCCTCCTCCCTGCCACCGCCTCCCAATTCCCTCCCCCTCCCCTGATCAAGTCCCCCTCCCTCATCTGCCCGAAGAGCAATCAGGGTTCCCTGCCCTGTGGGAAGTCCAAGGACCACCCACTTCCATCCACATCTAGTAAGGTGAGCATCCAAACTGTCTAGGCTCCCACAAAGCCAGTACGTGCAGAAAGATCAAAAACCCATTGCCTTGGTTTATGGCTAAAAACCAAATATGAGTGAGTACATCCCATGTTCCTCTTTTTGGTTCTGGCTTACCTCACTCAGGATAGTGTTTTCTATTTCCATCCATTTGTATGCAAAATTCAAGAAGTCCTTGTTTCTTACTGCTGAGTAGTACTCTAATATGTATATATTCCATTCTTTCTTCATCCATTCTTCCACTGAAGGGCATCTAGGTTGTTTCCAGGTTCTGGCTATCACAAACAATGCTGCTGTGAACATCGTAGAGCATATACTTTTGTTGTATGATAAGGCCTCTCTTGGGTATATTCCCAAGAGTGGTATTGCTGGGTCCAGGGGTAAGTTGATCCCGAATTTCCTGAGAAACCGCCATACTGCTTTCCAAAGTGGTTGCACAAGATTGCATTCCCACCAGCAATGGATGAGTGTACCCCTTTCTCCACAACCTCTCCAACAAAGGCTATCATTGGTGTTTTTTATTTTAGCCATTCTGACAGGTGTAAGATGGTATCTTAAAGTTGTCTTGATTTACATTTCCCTGATCGCTAAGGAGGTTGAGCATGACCTTAAGTGTCTTTTGGCCATTTGAAGTTCTTCTGTTGAGAATTCTCTGTTCAGCTCAGTGCCCCATTTTATAATTGAGTTGGTTAGCCTTTTACGGTCTAGTTTCTTGAGATCTTTATATATTTTGGAGATCAGACCTTTGTCAGTTGTGGGATTGGTGAAGATCTTCTCCCAGTTAGTGGGTTCCCTTTGTGTCTTAGCAACAGTGTCCTTTGCTTTACAGAAGCTTCTCAGTCTCAGGAGGACCCATTTATTCAATGAGGTCCTTAATGTCTGTTCTGCTGGGGCTGTAGGTAAGAAGTGGTCTCCTGTGCCCATGTGTTGTAGAGTACTTCCCACTTTCTCTTCTATCAGGTTCAGTGTGTTCAGACTTACTATAATTAGTGATCCTAGAGAAGCTAAATAAGGAGAACCCAAAGACAAACATATACGCATCCTCCTGAATGTTAACCTTCAGCAAGCGATGAAAGGAAACAGAGACAGAGACCCACATTGGAGCACAGGACTGAAATCTCAAGGTCCAAATCAGGAGCAGAAGGAGAGAGAGCACGAGCAAGGAACTCAGGACCGCGAGGGGTGCACCCACACACTGAGACAATGGGGATGTTTTACTGGGAACTTACCAAGACCAGCTGGCCTGGGTCTTGAAAAGCCTGAGATAAAACCGGACTCTCTGAACATAGTGGACAATGAGGACTACTGAGAACTCAAGAACAATCATATCATCAGCAAATAGTGAGAGTTTGACTTCTTTTCTGATTTTTATCCCTTGATCTCCTTTTGATGTCTTATTGCTCTAGCTAGGACCTCAAAAGATATACTGAATAGATACAGAGAGAGTGGATAACCTTGTTTTATTCATGATTTCA